ACACACACACACACACACACACACACACACACACACACACACACACACACACACACACACACACACACACACACACACACACACACACACACACACACACACACACACACACACACACACACACACACACACACACACACACACACACACACACACACACACACACACACACACACACACACACACACACACACACACACACACACACACACACACACACACACACACACACACATCATCGCAAAATAGTCAAAACGGATTCAGGGGACCTCAAAACGTAAAAATCCGTCGAAAACTCGAGGTCAAAAAAAATCATGATTCCTCTATTTTCCTTATATCTGTATACAGATAGGAAAGTAAAAATGAATCATTTTAGGTTAACTGAGACTCTGCTGTAGAATCCGTATATAATTGATAGCGGAGTCTCAATAAACCTGAAAACTAGCAAGGCTGGAGGCCCAGTCACACTCTATAGATATAGCGCTAGATATAGTGTATATTAGGAACATATCTTATAGTACCTTAATATACAAAGAACCACAGTTTCATTAAAAAATATTTATTTTTGTGTACCTATTACAAACTTGTATACTGCCCCATTTAGTATCTTTAAACCTGAATATATATTTTTTTTTATTTGAAATTTTGGGAAACTAAACCAAGGAATGTACACTACCTTTTTAATTATATTAGGTGACGTAATCATTAAAAATGGCAGACGGGAGCCGTTATGGCAAGTGATATATTATTTGAAACCCTTTCCAATGATATCAATATAACTAAAATATTTTTTCTTTTTACTCATAATGAATTCTTTGTTTTAAATGTTCAATGCTATCAACTGGTGTACCACAAATATTTAACCTTTGGCACTGTATTATTCTCGTTTAAAATCAAAGATTTTTATGAATTCATATCTCATGACGGATCAAAAAATAAATAGGAGGTGGAGGGACTTTAGATCCGCATTGTATAATCGAGAGCAGAGGCTATGTGAACCTGAAAATTAACACAGCTGGAGGCCTAGTCTTACCGTATACATCTTCAAAAATCTAAACGCGGACCATACAAGCGAAATCCATTAGGGACGAACTTAAGTTGGAGTGAGGTGGAAGTCGTGAGTCAGGCCATTGAATAGGTAGTGCGCTGCACAGCTCATATCACAATGAGTCTCAAGGATGTAAGCATACTTATATTTATTTAAATCTCTATATTCCACACGAAAAGTTCGAAATGGTATATTTTAATTTTGGATGTATGAAAATGAATAATCCACAATACGACACTTCAGTGGAAAGTCAATTTTAATGATTTATAGGACAACGTAACAAAACAATTCGAAGGAACATGAACTTAAATAGATTGTTGCCATTAAGGTTAATAATAAATAAATGTAATGAAAATCCCAATAAACCAAATTAACAAAATTATGCTGCACATTAAATTACTATTATAATAAGCTTTCAAATGAGCTGTCACACTTAACAATATGTACCACTTTTTTATCGTGCTAAAGGGCGCTAAAATCAAAAGTAACACTATAAACAGGCACATTTCTAAAAATTATTCATTAAATTACATTTGCGTTGATGTGTAATACTTAGTACGTTTTCTATTTAAATTGTATTGGTTAGTAGTGGGAAGGAGGAGAGGGGAATGTTGTGTGTCAGTTTAGGATGTGATAAAAATGTGCCAGCCTTAGAATAAAAATCGACCTAATTTAAACAATTCTTTGTATTAATTTGAAGCAAGTGGTGATACAATTGAAATCAGCATAATAAAAGGAAGCTTAAAAATTTGTATGTTATGTTGGGAATGGGGTGCTAAAACACTACGACCTAAAATATTTATTATACCCCTTTTGTCGCTAATGCAGCAAGGAAATGTCGCAATGCCTACAACGATCCTTCCAATCATATCTTCCTTGAGTGGCTTCAAGTTAGGTAAATATCACTCTTCTATTTAATATGCTCTTAGGTATAGTGTCCTTGGATTTTGGAGTGCTACACATTGTCAGAATGTGAATGGAGGTTTTGTCTTCCTCTTCACAGAATCTGCTCGCTATATTCTACTACTCTTAGTTTACTTAAGGTGTCCTTTTAGTGGGCAATGCCCAGTAAGGATCCCTGATACAATACGTAACTTGTTCTTGTAAAATTGGTAAACATATAGGGTGTTCTATTTATAAAATACTGTCATTGACGTCATTACAAGATGATTACAAGATATATTAAATTATGAGAAAATAAACTAAATTAAAATAAAAAGTTTACTTATTTTATTTTACGTCTTGGTCATATATCACATTTGAGTTGGAATTTTCTTTTTATTTACTTTTATAATAATGCCTAAATATACGTACTAATCAAGGTGCTAACCTTATTATTTAAATAATATCAACCAAAAAATTATTAAACATTTTCTAAAACAAAAATGTTTATTGTGGCATTTTATTTTATACGGCGCTCTGTAGTACTTGTCGCGTTCAAGATCGAAAATAGTTCATTTTAATTTTTAGACTGACCCGAGTCGAGAGACAAAATCACCAAGCCTCCTAGTACGTATATATAATCAACTGCAACGTTGCCAAACCAAAAGCGCGCAGCGAATAGCTTAAGGCGCCCAGTTGACATGTAACATTAAACATCTTATACACAGCGAAATGTATATTAGCAGCGCACCAACCGGCGAACGCCTGAACTAATATTTTATACAGGATCAAAAAACGGCTCAAATGGGCGTCCTCGAGATTTTTGTGTTAATGGGTGTTTTAGGGTGTCTACATCATCTGGAACAATTTTCAATGGGTTGTCACTGGGGATCCGTATATCGGAAGCCCAGTAACAGCGGAGTCTCAGTGAACCTGAAATTTAACATGGGGGGAGGCTCAGTAATACTTTGTAGATATATATATATATATATATATATATATATATATATATATATATATATAACGCAAGAAAGAAGTCTTTGCTGACTCGTTAGGAAATGAACTTGAGTTATTGGGTTTGCAGCAAAACGAAATGTGTACTCTTATAAGTTTATTCCAAGCTTTCGAATGTGAATACATTCATCTTCAGGGATCTAGAATATTTATTACAGGAAAATTAAAATTGAATAATGAACAATTAATGTTTACTTACTACTTAGTGAGATTGGTTCGTGAAAAAAATGTTGTTGATAAAATTAATGATGTGATTGAAACTGTACTAGATAAACATTGACATGAACATTTTAGACGATGCATTGAAAATTTTTAAAACATTTTAAAATTATATACACTTTTTGCAACTAACTAGTTTAGTCGAAAATTAATAAAAATTTTTTGAGGTTACAATTGACCATGTGCTCTTTTCAAGTTCATGGCGCATGCGTCTGTCATTAAGTCAATTTGCCAAAAAAGAAGAAGAATTTACTTTAACTGTGTAAGACTAATGAGGTCCTACAGCCAATTATTTCAAAACAGAAGGGGGTTGCATAAAGCTAATGAGACTTTATTACCAAACTACCCTTTCTTAATGGGAGGCGCACGTGTCATATACAATAGAACTGAACGACGGGTTGCTAAAAATTTAATTTTATAACTATTGATTTATGAATAAAATTATATGAAACATAGTTAAAGATTTTGTTTGTCGACATTAACAAAATCTTTAACTATGTTTCATATAATTTTATTCATAAATCAATAGTTATAAAATTAAATTTTTAGCAACCCGTCGTTCAGTTCTATTGTATATGACACGTGCGCCTCCCATTAAGAAAGGGTAGTTTGGTAATAAAGTCTCATTAGCTTTATGCAACCCCCTTCTGTTTTGAAATAATTGGCTGTAGGACCTCATTAGTCTTACACAGTTAAAGTAAATTCTTCTTCTTTTTTGGCAAATTGACTTAATGACAGACGCATGCGCCATGAACTTGAAAAGAGCACATGGTCAATTGTAACCTCAAAAAATTTTTATTAATTTTCGACTAAACTAGTTAGTTGCAAAAAGTGTATATAATTTTAAAATGTTTTAAAAATTTTCAATGCATCGTCTAAAATGTTCATGTCAATGTTTATCTAGTACAGTTTCAATCACATCATTAATTTTATCAACAACATTTTTTTCACGAACCAATCTCACTAAGTAGTAAGTAAACATTAATTGTTCATTATTCAATTTTAATTTTCCTGTAATAAATATTCTAGATCCCTGAAGATGAATGTATTCACATTCGAAAGCTTGGAATAAACTTATAAGAGTACACATTTCGTTTTGCTGCAAACCCAATAACTCAAGTTCATATATATATATATATATATATATAATTGTCATTTTACAAAATAGATACATTCTTCATTTTATAAAATAGATACACTTATTATAAAATTTAATAAAATTATAAAATAATAAAAACTCACTAAGGAGTTAAAATAACTTCTTTTTTTCAGTGGAATTATATTATTTTCATAATCTGAAGCAGGAGAGTTAGGATGCGGGAGGAAAAGTTTCACTTTACTTCCTAGTTTTAAACAAATAACTAATTTTGTTTTTAGTTTGAAATACTTCTTTTCAGTCATTCCTTTTACTCATCATTTTATAAAATAGATACATTCGTCATTTTATAAAATAAATAAAATTGTCATTTTATAAAATAAATACACTGGTCATCTTATAAAATAGATATACTCGTTATTTTATAAAATAAATACATTGTTCATTAAATAAAAGAGATAAATATCGTTTTACAAAATAGATACATTTTTCATTTCATAAAGCAGATACATTCGTAATTATATAAAATATGGAGATACGCTAATTATTTTATAAAATAGATACACTTGTCAAAAAAAATCACTTTGGAGTTAAAATAACTTCTTTTCTACTGAAATTTTATGTTTAGATTTTCAGAATCTGTTGCGGTAAGAAAACTTCCGCTTTATTCCCTAGTTTTAAACAAATAAATAACTTCGTTATTATTTGTATTTTGAATTATTTCTTTTTTTTTTAATTTAGGCCGTATGTTCCCGTCATGGATTAGCCATCGGTGCCAAAACAATATACATTACGAAATTCGTGATGTTACTTACTTTCCCGATCGCTTTCCCGGTCTCGAAAATTCTGGACGCCCTATTGGGCGAGGAAATCGGAAGCGTGTACAACAGAGAAAGATTGAAGGAGTTGATTAAGGTGAGTCATTTTTTCTAAAACTAATAAAATAATGTCAGTTTCGATAATAGAATTTTTATCAATATTTTCGGAAGAACTGTGTCATAATTCGATAAACTAAAATAACTAAAATCGAAATGCGTATTAACAAGTCATTATTTGACCTACTTATGAGTCGTTAACCCAAATCGACGCTTTTAAAAATGTTTATCCGTTTTTTGACGAAACTTAAATTCCAGATTGGAACCAATTTTGCAAATTTCGCATATTACATCTCACATGCTCATTTCAAATTATGATTTTTGGTGCGATTTTAGAATTCTATCGCGATGTTTCGAAATTAATTTGAAGCGAACGCGACCTGCATTTTGTAAATATAACAAAACTATTTGGACCTCGGCCAGCTCGTGCTTAATACGAGTGGACGAGTTGTTTGCTTTTTTTTGCTAATAACGATAAATCTGTGAAATAAACTCGTCTGGATCTATAAACTGTTAAAGGATCCACAGAATATACAATTTGTCGTAGATATAGGTATACTACTATCAAGAGATATAGTGTGACTTTAAAGCTTTAATTAAGCCAGCCGGCAGCATAGAAAAAAAAAACCAAGGAGACTGATACATCACCTTTAAATTATTAGAGAAGCATTCAAGAGATTGAATCTACTTATTTTATTTTTACTTCCCTTGATAAAAGGGAAGTATTGTAATCGTGAACATTTAAATTTTCACGTTTTCGGGTCCCTAGATTACGAAAAACATGTTTTCCCCATTCCGTCGGTCTGTCCGCCGTCTGTTGTCTGCCGTCTGTCTGTTGACGCAATAGCTCAAAAACGGCTTAAGAGAAAAACTTCAAATTTTGTATACAGGTAAGGCGTCCTCTTGTCTCAAATCCGGTTATGCTTCCGACCAGATATATACAGGGCGAGCAATTAAAAAAAAAACATTTATTTTTAAAAGTCAGCAGATTTCTCACATTTTAAAAACCAGTAAAAGAATCTACAACGTACTAAGTTAATTTTATAAAAGTTTATTCACAAATCTGTCGGTTGTATTTCCAGCCGTCTGCAAGGCATTGCAAATCGTTTAACTGCCGACGAGTTAGTCAAGACGCAGATTGTTTAGGAGTACATTCAATACGATGACGAAAGCGGATATACAAAATTCTCTAATGGACAATGATTTGTATTTTCAAGACAGCTATAAGAAAGAACAACTTCTTAAAGTTTTACGGACGAAACAATTTAAAAAAGTCTACGCCATAGATAGTATTGCTGAATACGGTTGTATTGACATTTCCCTCTTATTTTGTATTTTTAATAGGATATAAAACCAACTATTTTAGTGGCGTTTATCTTATCGTTCATCAATTAAATTAAAATTTCTTCATTTTGCAGTATTGACGATTAATTCCAATTATTTTAATCTAGAACCGAGCGGCTGGCGAGAAAAATACAAGATACTGTATTGATGTAGAATTGACCAGTCAAATGAGTAAAAATATCAAGATGGTAAAATGTCAGTGGCATACTACTTTTTTTTGTAGAAAATATCAGATGACATGTTTGCAGAGACGCCACTGGTAACTAACTTAAATATGTGGTTTTATATCCTATTAACACATGCCAAAATTGAAAATTATATCTAAACTATTTTCAGAGATATTAAAAAATATCTCTTTAAAAAACAAATTTTCAACTCCCTTTAGCAAAAAATTGAAGCCGTTGTGGACATATGTTCATATAAACTTTTCTTTATAAAATGACCTGAAGAATCACCCTACAATATTAACATACCTATAAAAACACCCTGTATAAATTGTAAAAACAGGGAAACTATTTTAAATTTTTTAAAAGTAATTCATGATCTATTATCTTTGATCAGCTAACAACTTTATCAGAAACCGATTTTAGTCGAAATCTGCTGACTTTTAAAAATACATGTTTTTTTAATTGCTCATCCTGTATATATCTGACCGGAAGTATAACCGATTTTGAGCCAAGAGGAAGCCTTACCTGCATAAAACATTTGAAGTTCTTCTTTTAAGCCGTTTTTGACCTATCGCGCCGACAGACGACAGACAACAGACGGCGGACGGCAGACAGACCGACGGAATGGAGAAAACATAGTTTTAGTAATCTAGGGATCCGAAAACGTGATTACAATACTTTTTATTGATGGACGTAAAAACAAAATAAGTATACTCATTCTCTTGTATGCTCCTCTACTATATTTAATGTATCAGTGTCCTTAGTGTTTTTTGTATGTTGCCTGCTGACTTTAAAGTCACACCATATCTCTTGCTTGTACTATACCATAGTATACTTGTTGCAGAACGTTTTACCACAAAATTAAAAGTTGCACCCCAAATATCGGAAATAAATACTTTTTATTAAATAGATACCCTATTTTATAAAATAGATACTTTTTTATAAAATAGATTAAGTAATTTTAAAAAAATAGATAAACTCTGTATACACTCGCCTTATTGTAAAACAGATAGACATTTAAAAAAATAATTATACTCGACATTTTATAATAAAATAGAAGCACTTTGTAAAATAGATACAATGTTCTAATTATTAGATAAGATCCACTGGCCATTTTATAAAATATACATCTTTATTTTATTAAATTAATACACCTGCTGATTCATAAAATAGATACCGCCCTCATTTTATAAGAAAAATACTTCCTTCGTTTTATAAAATAGATGTCATTCCATTCCAATTAACTAAAATCTTTTTTGGCACAACTCAAATCAACAACCTCTTATCCCCATGACAGTTTCAACTACCCTTTGATTCTCTACAAATTTTATTTTAATAAAAACCTTAATTGCTCCAGTAGCGTTAAATGATGACATATTATTGACACATACAAAAAATAAATTATTGTGACGTCATACAAATTTTAATACTCAGAAATATATATTTTTTCTTAAATTTTTTAAATACATAGATACACTCGTTATTTTATAAAATAAATACAATCGTCATTTTATAACACACGTCATTTAACACAAGTCATTTTATAAAATAGATAATACTAGTTATTTTATAAAATAGGTTCGTTTGTCATTTTATAAAATTTTTACAATACTGGTTTTAAAAAGTAGATACAATCGACATAAATGAATAGATAGAGCCTAGATATCTTTTTATAAAATAGATATATTACTGGTTTTATAAAATAGATATTCTCGACATAAAATAATAGATACACTAATCATTTTATAAAATAGATACACTTATTTTATTATAAAATGATACATTAGTTATTTAAATAGATACACTCATCATTTTCTAAACCAGATTAACGTCATTTTATAAACTAAATCACTCCTCGAATTATAAAATAGATACACTTTATAAAATTAATTCACTCATCGTTTTTAAAATAGATACGTCACTGGTTTTATAAAAAAGATACACTCATCTTTTTATAAAATAGATACATTTATTGATATATAAAATAGATACATTAGTGGTTTTATAAAATAGATATACTAGTCATTTTATAAAATAAATACACGGCAATGGCTTCGTAAAAAATTTGACAGCAGACCTCGTATTTGTACAAAAATTATCGATAATTTTAGCGTTCGTTATACCTTCGAACACGTATAAATTTCCTTAGGAAATTATTACAACCTTGTTAGCGTTAATGCTTTGCTTACTCGCGATCTAGAGCATAATTTTCCCGTTTTACCACCCAGGGATTAATCGATCCAAGGTCAAGGGTGATTATGAAGTTTTCCGATGATGATGATGATTTAAGGAAATGGTGTAAAACAATCGTTCTAAACTCTGCACACAGGTTTTCTATTCTCATTATAGCTTTTGTGGATTTAATTGGTCTCGAAGGAACGGTATAATTATAATTTTGTAGACTTTATTTTGCTTTAGATTCATAATTCTTATTGTGGGTCTATGATAGGTACTCCTCGTTCCATATCCTGAATATTAAAACTTTTATTTCGAAGACGTATATCGAATAATATTTAATTTTAACCATCTTTCTATTCATTCAAATTATATAAATCTATGGTTACAACATACATCGATTAATAACTATTGCATTCTAACTATTTGTATATTACAACTAAGTTACATGCTACAATTATTATTATTATTACTTGTTATTCTAAAAATACGTTTAAAAATAAGACTTCTGTTCTAAATGATCATTATTGATGTGTTCTTGGTTATTTTTATAGTGCAGAGTAAATAAAGGTTGTTTTTAATTTACTTATTACTTTCTAATGTATTATTAATTTCCTATTAATTTTTTATTAATTTCTTATTAATTTCTTATTAATTTCTTATTTATTTCTTATTAATTTTTTAGCATTTTTTTTATAGTAATTTCTTAGTAATTTCTTAATAATTTCTCAGCAATTTCTTAATAATTTCTTAATAATTTCTTAATAATGTCTGATTAATTTCTTAATAATTTCTTAATAATTTCTTAATAATTTCTTAATAATTTCTTAATAATTTCTTAATAATTTCTTAATAATTTCTTAATAATTTCTTAATAATTTCTTAATAATTTCTTAATAATTTCTTAATAATTTCTTAATAATTTCTTAATAATTTCTTAATAATTTCTTAATAATTTCTTAATAATTTCTTAATAATTTCTTAATAATTTCTTAATAATTTCTTAATAATTTCTTAATAATTTCTTAATAATTTCTTAATAATTTCTTAATAATTTCTTAATAATTTCTTAATAATTTCTTAATAATTTCTTAATAATTTCTTAATAATTTCTTAATAATTTCTTAATAATTTCTTAATAATTTCTTAATAATTTCTTAATAATTTCTTAATAATTTCTTAATAATTTCTTAATAATTTCTTAATAATTTCTTAATAATTTCTTAATAATTTCTTAATAATTTCTTAATAATTTCTTAATAATTTCTTAATAATTTCTTAATAATTTCTTAATAATTTCTTAATAATTTCTTAATAATTTCTTAATAATTTCTTAATAATTTCTTAATAATTT